TTGATTGAAGAAGATGAATTGTTTTGTCCTTGAAATCGGAAATTTTGTGAACTTATAATTTTTTAGGGGAATGACATTGAAATATGGGATTATCATTCATCCAAACATACTAGAAACGCGATACTCTGTACTCTATGACTTTCACACGTTTAGTTAAATGGGGGGTGTTCTATTAGCAATTCTGGGAAACATATATTGAAAACCAGAAACGAGTGATGCTTGATTGCATATTTTATAAATTGCATCTACGCGCAAGCTATCTACGAATACCTAAAAAAGTACTAGGGCGAGAACAAAATAAATGACGAATCCATTGTTTATTGGAATGTTTATTTTTCCGTATAAATATCAGGACTGAAATGTAATTGTGATCATAATGATGCACAATGGAGAAGCGACCAAGGCTATCTAACGGATAAAAATGTACTTCCGGTGACTAAGTTGAGGTTCGGTGATACTGGTGATGATTCTGAAGAAGGTTATCATACACTTGGACCACTCATGTGCACTGGAAGTGAGTATACATCCACCGTGGTAAATGTATGTTGATTTCTTTCTTGCATTCGATGAACCACGCACCACGCCACACGTTCTTTCGAACCAGAATACTAGTATATTAAAACACATATAATTTGTGCATATTGAACATCGATGTGCACACATTACTGAGGGGTTTCTGTTCAGAAGTCTATGATATCTTTTATTTAATTTTCTACCATTTTAAATATATTCCACGAGCTCCTGAGCTTAACGAGATCGCGTGAGATCCGCCCTCCGTGGTTTTCCGAACCCAACACATGATGTCTGATTGATCGAGAGTTCCAATGTTGTTTTCTCGTAGAGGGCGCTACTCACGCCTACATGAGCTCCTAAGTATTTTCGACAAATTAGATCGACTTTGCTCCTGTTTTCAATACATTTGAAGGTATCCCTACCACATCTCCTCCGTTAACAGCTGCTTCTGTAGACTGGGTCAACACATCCACTGGAATTGCAACTGTATCGGTTGTCAGTATTCTCGTCGTCGCCATCTTGATTGGTTTGATTTGCATATGCTTCCGTCACACCGTCATTGGTTGCTGTAAAGAATGTGGTACTGGTTGTCGAAACTGCTGCTGGGCGTTCGGATCGGGTTGCCGTGGTTGTTGTGACCAGTGTGGGTTGAACTGCCGAGGATGTCTGGACAACTGTTGTACAGCAGCGCCGTAAGTATTAAAGCTCAAAGACGTGTTTACGTCATGTGCTCTGTACTGGTCAACCTGGTCGTAAGAAAGACGTACGCATCTATAGTAATCATATTTAAGATATATTCAGGACAACCGTGGTAATATGATATGAAACAATCTTGGTAACTTGTCCAGATGCTATTATTGTGTCACTATGCTTTGTTTCCGATCTACCTGACATTTTCCGCGCATGAATTTCCATCAAATTATTATTATATGATTACTATAAGGCTCATCAGAGTACGCTGCAAACTTATCATATTCAAATATAGTCACACACGCTGGTTGCTCGTGTTTCAGGCCACCTCCACGTAAACCGATAGAGAAGCGATGGGATAAACCAAGACAGAAAAACAATGGTAAGTCACATATGGATATTCTGGCTACTACCTATCGATGGCGTGTCGTGGCTCATCCACCCATCCTATTATCAGGTTGTGAACAACGTCACTCCTTGATTCATACATGGTATATCAATTTATTATCTTGACAGAAATAATAATGGCTCCAACCAAAGAACTACAAACTCACGATCAGAGTGCCGAGAGCGGAAGAGTGGTGAGTATTTTGGTTATGTATATGCATGTCAAAAAGCCTTGTTTATAGTAGACAATGATACATCAGGGTGGTGTGTCATATTTTATATTGATAAACGATATAATCCTCGATGAGTTATTTTAGTTGATGGAAAGGTATGTCATTTGGCGTGTGGTATATTCGAAATAAATGACCTACACAAGAATCTACCAACGGATATTACCCAACGCCTCCTCCTATAATGTCAATGACAAATAAAAAAATGATACAACAATAAATAAACTGTATTTGCTGCTGTAGACAACGTGGTTGTTAGAGCCAAGAGCCAAGACTGAAGACATGACATGACGAGAATACTTACTTACTCATCACATCCCCCTAGTGAATTGATCAATGACATCATGGGCTGGAGACCCTGGGTACCCTGAATTCACTTACATAACGAATAGATAGTTTTGATATACTATTATGCGAGATTTTCCACTCTAGGAAATTGCGAATGCATTTAGTTAATAGGCTATCAAAAGAGATTTGCCTCTTACTAGATAAAACTCATTCTGTACTAACAGGAAAGCCACCGTGACGTATAGTCGGTCTTTCGGTCGACGAGCATAAATATTTCTGTTATAGTGTAATACTGTGTTAAATGATAATATCTTATAGGCGCTTGTCCCATCATCAAAAAATTATTCTGAAAGAAAGCCGCCTGTCAATAGAGTAAACCCTTCGGCACTAGTTGAAGGCCATGATGTTGGTGAGTACAACATGTGCTATCAGGATTTTATTTATTGATACAGAAGAATTCTGGTTTATCGAGAGCTATCGAATTGCCTTCACAAACGTGCAATGTCAAAGTAAATTGCAAATGAAAGTCAAATAATTTAATCACAGCATGTTTGCATATTCCTCAATCGAAACTATCACCAACTGACCATGACGAACCCTAATGAGAGACTACTGGTTTGGTCTTCAAGTTGTTTTGTCGGGTTTTAGATCGCTGGTCCGTCTGTAGGTGGTGGCTGGACTTCGAGGACAAAATCGACCAACCAGGCATTTGCGACTAAGATTTGACAGTGCAAGTTTGTGGTCATAAGTATATAAGTGCAGCCTTAGCTCTTCTAAAATCCTAATTACCGAAAATAACTAATTTACATACTTTAAAGCATCAGAAATTCCTGAAATACCGGCACAAAAACTAACTACCGACTCAAGAAGAAGGCAATCCACAGCTAGGATGCTCTACTTCGGTGGACTTCATTTATCGGGATTCATCAGCGGGGAAATGCTTGTCATTTGTAGTTAGTTTAAGCACTTCTAAATGACATTTTCTATTACATATACATTATATTATTAAAGTGCACTGCTATCGTAATGCACTGCTTCAGCCCGGAAATAAAATCAGTCCGCATAGTACAATACGAGTAATGGGGGGGGGGGGCCTTTTCTGAAAGTAACAGTAAATTGGATGTGAACTTTGCTGCATGTGGCAAACGATGTATACGTATTTATAACCACACATCTCCCGAAAATGTATTTTACATAGTCGATTTATGTTAACATGTACTCTGATTACAATAGAACGGGGGGGGCATTAATGTGCCCTTTTAGAGTCTCAGGTGGGGGTGCGTATACGTATACTTCCGGCATTATTAAGAAAGCGACCTAAGCTTCTACTGTCTTCACATTTTATTCAGATTTGATACCATCATTTCATTTCAGAGGCTAACCGTGACTTTGTCATCGAGCCCCGCACCGGTAAGAGGAAATGGGCTCAGACGGTAGATACAATCGGTGTACTAAACAATTGGAGGAGAGGATCGAGACCTCACAACGCTGTATATAACACCAATACCAACGAGCTCCCGGCAACACCTGTCGTTAACAACGCTTAGACATTTAGCGTGACGTTGATCAGAACAGTGTAGTACGAAAATATTATTTTGCTTTTGAAAATATTCTCCAATAGTAATGTATACATAGCTAATGATATAAAACGCACCGGGATATGAGATTTTATCATAGTGTTGACAAGGAATTTTGAAATTAATAGGGTCAATTTTGTAAAGAAATATGAACGTTATATCGGTTATATCGGTGTGAAGATCTATATTTATTACAGTAACCATAAAACTATGATTCTCTCGAATATATCGTATCATTATCTCAGTAAATATATAAATATAATTCTCAAAAACACATTCGAATAAAGAGTATACATGTTTCCACTATGCCTGTTTATATTTGACTTTACGTTTCTTCCAAACTACTACAGTTCAACTGTTGGAGTCCCGTCATATTTGATTTAGATGTCATATTGTGGTCAACTATCGGGGTATACGGCGGTGGCATCTCTCCGTTAGTCACTAAAACTCCCATGTCCGATTGAGGAGGATTCACGGTAAGCAACCCGGTCGTACTCGCATATGAATACGATGAAGGGATGGGTGATAACTGTAAAACTGGACTTGGAGAATGAAGTGGAGAAACGTCTGGGACCTGCACGAAATTAACGCCTGAATGAGAGGAACTTCCAATGTCTGTAATATAATATTATATATGACATTATAAGCGATTTAGAACAAATGTTCAACATATTATAATATGACTGTATATTAAAAGTCCAATAAAATACGTAATATATATATATATTGAACCTTGTCGAACCTTGGTTCAACAATCAATCCCATTATTATTGTATACTTGCTATTTACCTTTTCGAATTTTCTAAAGCCGAAAAGATGATATTTAGGAAAATCGGCACAATAGATGTACAATTATTGAGAACACAGATGTGTACACACTGTTGGAGAATACGAAGTTTCCGTGTGCTTGAATTTAAGCTACTTTGATCAGATCAAATGATTGCCACTACGAATAACGCTCTAAACAATTAACCGCACTCATTCCATACTGCCCAAGGTGCCCAAGTCAAGTGATAAAACACTATATTGATGGCGAGAGTATATGTACAATAAATGCTAATTATATGTATAATGGTCCCGGATGTTCGACCTCAGCTGGGGCATTAGCGTTCAGCGATGTGCGCTTTAAATTCACCGGGTTTATTGGAGCGTGTTTAGTAGTGGTGGCAAGTTGTATGATTGAAATATGTCTTATGTGTTATAATATTGAAATAAATATAACTATCCGTCAAAAAAAAACGTTTAACTGTATTTCCCGATAGTCACGGTGATAGTACAGCGAACCCCAGTGAACCCCCGCTTAATTAAAAATAGGCAGATATCGATCCTTGATATTCCCCGTTGCATAGTGAGACATTTATTATGAAGTGAGAGTTGCCCAAAAATCAAGTTAGTGGCGACTTGCTTACATTGTCGGTTATTTAAAACGGTGTTATGAGATTGACGATTTCTTCTCAGTCTTTGTATCTTCCATTTTCGGAAATATCTTACCCCTACACTCAACCCAATTGTTGTGAACACAATCACTACAATAGCGGCGATGTTTCCAGCGGATAAACCTAAAACATTAATCGTATATTAAAAGGTTTATTGTAAAATACCATTCAATAGATTGTGAACTGTAGCGAAACTGCAACATAAATTCCACAACAAAATGTGTTCTTTTTCGGATTGAATGAATTAGCGTAGTTGTTGATAGTGTTGAATTACATTTCCAACGCAACTCTATTTCTTACTCGAAGACCACTGAAACTAAAGATATACCCCTGAAATATCATTCAAAACTAGAATTTTTGTCGTCAATTTACTGCCATTCGAATGACGTCATACGGTAAATATCAAAGGTATCTTCGACTCACGTTGCGGATGCCGCGCGCTTTCATCGAAATATGTGACCTCTGGTTCTTCGCATCTGTTTCCATAGTAACCCTTTTTACAAAGGCAGTAAGACGGGACGATAAACTCGTCTATGCATGTGCCTCCATTCAAACATAATTGGGTCGAGCAGCTTCCTGAAATGAATCATGTTGTTAATACGCTATTACTTCGCATGATGAGCTGAGTGAAACTGTATCTTTTTCAGCCATTTTTGCCTCTCGAAATTGCAGATTAATGCGCACTTTATACCACACCTGTCACCATGCTCTCATTATTTCAAAAAACACAGAACTTATCATTGCCAGTGTGTCGTTTATAACAAAAAATAAGAAGACGAATTGGAATGATCCACAATCATAATAATACTTGTTATGGCGTCATTGAACCCCAATATGCAACGGACAACTTCGATCGAATACTTTACAATTATTTATAAAGACAATTTGAGTGAATACAACGCGACAAACCTGTGGACACGTGGTGACAAAGGTCACCATAGTGACGGGGCGAACAAACACAGGTTTCTTTAGTAATGTTATTGGTCTTTGTGGTCTGGCAGGTACCTCCATTTAGACAGTGTTTAGAACAGGTTTCTGAGGACGATAATAGCAGTGTTAATTGGACAAGTTTAAATATCATGATTCGTGATGTTTTATAATAGTTTGTCATTCAATGAGAAAAACAATGAGTAATGAGTATTGAACCGTTGAGTGCATTCGACTGGAAGTCATGAGATTGGAACGGGTTGTCGGAAGTGGTTGGTTTGGTGAAAGTGAGACAGATGTCTCCTCGTTTTAGTATATTATACAACTGATTATAGCGCTGTTATTCATTCTGAAGACAAAGTACACTATACTAGCCGATACTATAATGCTCTATTTTATTCTATAATATTCTTTTGTGATCATCAATTAGCAAATGTATTTTTAGGGATAATTAAAGGAAATGTCCAATAGTATAATACACATCTGAAACGCTAAGAAGAAACACCATGGACTTTGTATTCTGAGGCTAGTTATGTCTTCTTCGAAAAATGATGATGGCAGATGAAACACATGAACGTACGTACCTGTTCTAACAAACTGACACGTGTTTCCGTAATAACTATTCGGACAAACACACATTGATAAACCATTGTGTAATATACACGTACCGTCATTGTGGCATTTACCTGTACAGTCAGCTAGAAAAAAAAATACAAGAAGCAATTACAGGATGCTCGACTATAAATGTCAAGGTTATAATAATTATTTTCGAATTGCTTGATACATTGTCTTTGTATATGAAATTGTTAAAAGTGTACCCAAAGGAGCAGAGTAGCTTGTCACCACGGGTGTTTGTGTGTGAGTTTAACGACAGATGGCTGTTCTGGGCAGTGTCACGCATGCGTGGTTCACTTTTAATATTACAATCACATTTTCATCAC